ATGCATGGGCAGTTATTTTGGGGTTATCACTGGTAACTTAGGTCACTTTTTTACATTCTCATTATTGGTTTTTTCTTTTAATAATTGGAAGAATGGATCCATATAGGCTTCCTTACTCATTTGTTTTTTAAAACTGATGAAATTTTCAGTGCCTTACAAACCATTGTATGCTTGATCAAATAATACTAGCCTTCAAAACATGTACGTATATATATGTATGTATTATTATGTATTATTATTTTGCAATCAGATACCATAAAACATAGAGACATATGTTTAAGAAAATCTGAGATTCTTTTACAATGTTGATGAATCTGGTTCATATAATACACAGAGACGTGACACCTCTGTGGAAAATATTATTATATTGCTATTATTTAGCTATCTAAATCAGCTATACCATCAACTATTTTCTTGTAGTGTGTTAAAGTTATCTTCAGTTCGAGTAATGGTAATGTTTTGGGACTTCTATGCATATTAGACAATATATTTGTTAAACTTTGAAACAATTGAATAACATATTTATCTTTGAATACTTTAAATTTAAATAACAGAAATGTATCAGAGCACCCAGAGGAAACAGAGGCACCATCAGGAATGACTTTGGAGAGAATTTAGATAAAGGATACTTTCCAGACGAGTGGCTGGGTTAGGGGAACTGATGAGAGATATGGAGTATCCTAGGTTCTAGCCATAGTGGAAAGCAGAAGGGGCAAGGGATAAGATGGTGTTATTGAAGCAAACATGAACTGGAGCTATGGAAGGGTGGTGGCAAGAAAGGCGTGCAGCCACTGCCTGAAAAAACCACCATGCCAAGTTGTAGAGCAAATGGGGAAAAAATGGCTCCACCTTTATTGAAATAAAGATATTTCATTCAATTGTTTCTCTTTGCCCGCTTCCAGTGCCCCTCATTGACAACACTCCAACAGAAGCCTGAGGACAAGGGAACCCGGGTGGATGAAGTTCCTAGAGGTTAACCCCAGGGCACAAAGTAGGGCAAATGACGGGCCTGGGGTTCAGGGTGGGTGAGGAATAGAAAATAATCAGCACAATAAATTTTTCAAAAAGTGTACACATTCAATCAAAATGCATATTTCCAAACATTTAAATTTTGTGTAACTTAGCATTAGCCACATGGTGATTTCAGTGGAATAACATCTAAACCATAAACCCACAATTATCACAAAAATGACTCCACTCATTAAGACTCCTTAAATTGGGTACAGTCAAGACATTTTTTTTCGATGTGTTTTAAGTTTTCCTAAGCAGCTTTCTTGGTAGCAAAGCATCTATAACAAATTAAGTAAATTAGACCCATTTAGTCTGCCCTCATTGACCAAAATAAAAGCTGAAGAGCAGAGGATTATCCTTGTCTCACATGAAATAAGGATGAGCAATTTGACTCATTAAGTGCATGATTTCCCATTCTATTGTCAATACAAAATTGTTTCTACTTGTAATTTCTGCCAAACAGCATAACTGTAGAAGAAAAGGTGGAACAAGAACAAATTAACTGCACACCACTTCTGGGAAGAAAAAAAGCGAAGTGTGAGACTACCACTGACAAATCAAATCCACCCATCAGTGGTCTTGGAAGACCTCTTTCTCCATCACTGTCTTCCTTATAACAGGTTACCCACTCTTCCTAACTCCCTTATTACCCTGCTATCTATTTATCACAAAAATGACTCCACTCATTAAGACTCCTTAAATTGGGTACAGTCAAGACATCTTTTTCATTGTGTTTCAATTCCACAATATAGAGTGCTGTATAATTAGGAAGTTTTCCCGCGATGCTATTCATATGTTAAAGGACATATTAGAACAGGAAATTATTACTGTGGAGTTGCTATTGATGAACTGTCAAGTCTAATTAAAAAACCGAGACAAGAAAGTACTTAATTCCCTCAAAAACCCAAAATACAAATGTAAATTTGGAGATTTCTTCTGCTTACAGCAGGCTGCTAAAATCAACTACAAGCCTAAGGCCAACTAAAGTTTTGGTAAATGAAGTCACGTGGTAAAATAAAGGGAACCTCAAGAGAGGCTAACCTCAGGTGAGTGCTATTCTAGACCACGTGTTTTTGCTCCAGCCCACTTTCCCTTTTTTGTGTATTTCTATTTCACTTCTGTTATGGTGGTCTTAAACACATGGTTCACTGACAATGACAAGTCTAAAGAGGTCGCTGCCTTTTAAAAGTCAATAGACAACAATAACCAAAAGAGGACCTTTAAAGCTGCCTTTTCATTTAAGGAGGAAAAATAAACCCTACTACTACAGGAGGTGCAGGTAGATAGTTTGATGATGCTGTACTCTTAACTCTTCAGGCTCGGTGCAATCGTCCTCAGGAAAGATATCCCAGTCTGACTCTAACGAATCACTAATAAATCTTTACAATAAGCTAATTACAATGAACACATGTGGTGTTATTAAGTGGGGAGGGGTGCAGCAGGAAGGGGGTTGAATATAGTCCTCACTCTTCCATTGTTTAAAGTACCCTGTGTTCTTCTAGAGGGCACCAAAGGATAGCTGTGTAGAAGCAAGGGGAAATCGGCTCCAGGGAGCCTTGTCTCTGTGAGATGCCAGCGTTGAGCTGAAGTTGAGACGAGTTTCAAGTTGCTGAACACTTCCATACAGCAGTAAAGAGATAGAAGATATCGACACGCTCAGCTACATCTTGTTAAAAGCTTCCTGCGGGTTGGCAGAATGAAATCTTTATTTAAAATACACAAACTATTGTCAAGGGAAAGATGGAAAAGAGAACACAGTAAAAGGGCCAAAGGCTTTGCTTAACCCGCCAGAAGCAGCAGAAACGGAGAAGTGGTCACATTGTCTTTGCAGCAACAACAGAAAAGGTGAATAACACCACCACATCAGTATCCATCTGCTCTTCCCATGGTTTCAAGATGCATTATTTCTTTTATTATTAATTATATGTGTTTCCAGGGGAAGACAAATATATTCTTACTAATAGCAAGAGAGGAAATCATTTCTGCTGCCACTTTGCATTAAGTACAGTAGTGTATGTAATGAGTGAGTGATGACAGGAAACATAGCAGCAGCCTTGAGCCCCAGCATCCCCCCTACCCAGAGCTCCACCTCGCTCTTGGTAGTCAGAGGCTTTCTAACAGAAAGTTCATGTAAAACCATTATTGAACACTGACAGGAAGGAACTGAGACAGGAGAGAATGGTGTGTATTTGTGCAGAGGGAGAAGGAGGGAGGGAGGCAAGGAGGAAGAGAGGGAGAGAGAATGAGTTAGTCATCACCTTGCACAGACATCACCATACGGGGGCAGGTGCTTTGCATTATTACAAAGATAGACATCACATGCACACACACTTGCACACATGGCATAAGTCTTTTTGGTTTATATCCAATCGTTTCCAAGAACAGCTTTAAGTGATAATGACTATGTGCATGTGAACCCTCTTGGGTGGGTGAGCTCAGTGGGTTTAAGGAAGCTGAGCAGGGAGCCAGGCAGGGGATGGGTTCAGAAGAAGGGTCACTTCTGAAGAGCAAAAGGACATGGGAAGCAATGAAGCAGGTATGAAAAGAAAAAGGTGAAAAGACCCTGAGGAAAATGTCACCTATATTGATTAAGCTTTATTTCTCTTTGGGAAGGTGTGATATTTCTGCTATTAGATCATGGACATATAAGGAACATAGATGGTTCACTGCTTTTTGTTCTCTTCCACAGTGCTTATAGCACCTTTGACCAGAGGGTACCTGGAAGGCTCTTTGTTGCATTATTACAAACAGGATAATTTTTTTTTTTTAAGCACCAACGTAGTGACATTGCCCTCTCTTTGGCAAGAGAGATCGCATTTGTCGCCATAGCTGAATGCTCTGCTCAGACATAGATGACGGTAAAGTGATAAAAGCTTTCGGCTAGATTTCTTCCATCCTGCCCAACCTCTTCCCCAGCTCCAGTCCCCTTTTCTTGCTTTGCTCAGGGGGTCTAAGTTCCTCTTCCCCTGTTTCGAGAGTCTGTGATACACCACCTCAGAGGCGCTGGCCACTCTACCTTGGGGTACTAGGCAGGTGGGGAAGCAAATCGCCCTCCGACGTCTGTCCGTGTCCTCTCCTCAGGAGCGAAGCTGGTTTCCAGCAACTCTTTCACAGGTTTTCCCCTTCTCAACTACTCCCTTGGCAGAGCCCTGCTCTCCCTCCAGCCTAGCCAGGCTGCCCAGCACCCCTACTGAAAACTACATGCAATATCTGAGATGCACAACAGTCCTCGCTCCACGCAGCCTCTGCTGCCCTTCCCTCCTCCTCACTAAAGTGTGCGCTTCCAAAGCATGGACTGTAATGCAAATTAAATCTCTGTCCCTTGCATTTTTAAACCCGTCACCCCTAACCCTTACCGCCAGCTTCCTTCCAAATAACCCCTTAAAATAACCGAAAGCACGCCAACACCTGAAGAAGCGCAACCGGATCCACACGTGGACAAGTCCTCTGGGGCTTTAGCGGTTGGGAATAGCCTGTGCCTGACATGTCCTCCTCTCCCCCCGCGGACCGCTGTACCCCGGTGCCCGGGGAGCATGCCAAGGCCTCCGGGGCAGCTCGGGGTCGCGGCCCGATGTCCCCTCCTCCCGCCCCAGCTGGCGCGCCCGCACCGCCACCGCCGCCGCCTCCCGGGCGGGCGCTCAGAGCATCCCGCGTCGCGTCCTCCCCACCCCGGCTCCGGCCCGCCCGCCGGAGCCCGGCCCGCGCCGCTGGCAGCCATCAAGTGGCTCGTTAAGGAAATGCAGGTGAGTGCGCGCGGCGGACGGCGGCTGCTGGAGACGTGGGGTGTGTGCCTGTGTGTGAGGGCGGGAGGCCGTGCGGGAGCGGCCGGGGATGCTCGCCGCCTCTGCTCCCCGCCCCGCCGCGCCCGCAGCCGGCGGCCCGAGCGCTTGTGGCCGCGCCTAGCACTGACAGCCGCTCGCCTCCTCGCCGTCTCGCCGGCCTCTCCCTCCTCGCTCCCCTCCCAGCCCGAGCCCTCCCGCTGCTCCTCCTCCTCCTGCTCAGCCTCCTCCCCTCGCGCCGCGCTGACAGGCAGCCTCGGCGGGGAGAGTGCAGGTACTTTGCCTTCAGAATAATTTGCAGGACCCAAGCAAGCTTTCGGAGCGCCCTGATTTTCTCCTGCCTCTGCCCCTCCCTCCGGCCGAGAAGATCCCACTTTTGAAACAAACAGAACCCAAAGCATCCTCCCCAAGCCCAAGCCCGACGGGCTGCTGTGCATGTGCTGTCCTTTCTTGCAGTTTATTCTGGGCCTGTGTGGAATAGAAAGACAATTCTTTCTCTGACTGGTAGGAAAGAAAAGAGAAGACTCCTCAGGGTTTCCAAGGAGGACCGGAGCGGCTGCTTTAGTAAGTAAACTGTGCTTCTGGATTTCTTGACTCTAAAGTAAGCGATCTGGTGAATGCTTTGCCCCCAAAGGCACGGACGGGTTGTTCGTTTGACCGGGGAAGAAGTTGACTTATATAACTTCAGTAGTTCCTAATTGAGAAGTGGTTTGCTAAGCATCTTTCTTTCTTTTTTTGAGGAAGAGCGTTGAGAAGACTCCAGTCTGGGGATCTGAGTTTTAAACGCTTATTGTTCAAGGGCTATTGGAAGCTTGGTTTGTGAAACATTGGTTGGTTCGGTTACCTAGAAAAAGCTTGAGAATTCCAACCCTACTGGTTTACTTCTACCTCTCCCCTTAATCCACACCAACTCCCACCTTTCTCTGACTTCACTTGGTTGCCTGTTTTCTCTTTAGTTCTGAAGAGAGCTTGCTAAAAAAAAAAAAAAAAAAAAAAAAAAAAAAAAAAAAAATGGGTCAAGGGAAAGTTAATAAAGATGGTTTGAAAGACAAGAAGAAAATCCTGTTGAGGTTTCTTAATGCTTGTAGGTAGATGAGAAGTGGAAGAAAATCCTGGAACTAGCCTAATTGGAGAATTGGGATGAAATTGCTTTGGAGAGGGAATGTGAAAAATGCTTTGGAGGGGCCAGGAGCTGAGTATGTGACTTTGACACAGCAGGTTATAAAGTGTGACAGGGGCTCAGCAGCCAATGACAGGTTTAAGGTGTCTCCTAGGGCCGAATAGCTCTGCATCAAAAACTTTTGCAGGCAGTATGCCTCTCGGGGCCAACATCACCGTGTCAGCAGCTGCAGCATTTCTGTACAAGCAAGTAGGACACTCTTCTCTCTGTGAAAGGGTTAATAGTATCTTCAAGAAAAGAAGATATACAGTCTAACATTTGCCAATATTTTGTAAATATCTAAATAAAACCTTTGTGTTATGTCAGGAAAAATATAGTTGAGTCAGTTTGTTTTGTACAAGAGGAAGTGAATCAATAACATTTTCAGCATTTTTTTCTTTGTCACTGCCAAATGGACTCTGAATCTAATTCTTGCATTGTTAACATATACAGTAGGTACAGTAAGAATTGCAGTTTAGATAAAAACAGCTAGTTTTTAATAAATTCAAGTTCTTTGACACAATAGCACTCATACTGACTAGTGTGGAAATAGTGATTAGAAAAAGTTTGTCTATTTTATCTTTAGCTTTCAATTTTCTGTCTCAGTATAAAACACACTTTTTGAAACAAATCCCTTTAAGAGTTATAAACCAGATTGAAAATTAAAACCACTTATCTCACAGATAATTTCTTTTCAACAAAAGACCTTATCATCAAATAATACCTATGGGCTCTCTCATATTTAATTGTTAATAATGGTAAAGTGAAAAGTTTTTACCTTTATATTTACTCAAATAAGTATATAAAAGCAGCTATATTCATTCAACACTGATTTTTTTAAGATTTTAAGAGTTATCTAACGTACAGTGATTTAAAAAAAGGGAAAGATCTTTTAGAGTTGTTATAGTTATTCAATGTCAAAAGCTCTGAATATCTTGAGATATAAGTTTTTAGGCTAATGAAATAACAGGAGAGTTGCTGAATTTGTTGACATGAAGTTATCATAGATGGAAATCATTTGGGAAAGATATGTCATTGTTTCTTGTATATTACTTTATTTCCTATCCTAGTGGATTTTCTTAGAGATTTTCTTACTGCTACCATTTCTGTTATTGGTTTAAAATGAATTTAAATAGTTTAAAATGAAGACCTTGGTTGATCAGATTTGAATTATAGCATATGATCTCTACTCATTTGTGACCTGAAATATCTGAAAGGATATCTGATGTTTGAAAAAATAATTATTGAAAAATAAAAGGTAAGATTGCACTGAAGTAGCCAAATTTAAGAGTGGTTCAAACATGTTATTACATATATTACTATAGGACACATTTTCCACAGTAGAAAAGACATGAGCGAATTGTTGCTCCTGTTCGAATTTCTGAAAGCAAAGATTTACAATTAATGTGAAAACTAATTTGACACACATTCTGCCTCTGTTATCATTATGTCATAGTGCTAAGGAAGATAGCCTGAATTACAACCATTTCTAATAAAACTTGACATTATATATTTGATCACTGTCTCTATGTAATAATAGAGAAAAAAAGTCAAAGCTGGATGGGTGATTAAATTGTCTTTTTTTTTTTTTTTTTTGTCACCAGCTTTCTGTGCAATACAGAGGTAGTTGCAACTTTAAAGTTGAAAGAAGAAAGTTGCTAGTGTCAGCAGTAATGTGTTTTATTATGCAATTGTTCTTGTTAGTCAGATCAGATAATGGCCCTATGAAATACATAAGCAGTCTGCAGGGGATGAATGATTAATTCCTCTACCGTGTGCTTACTAAAGGAGTTCTTACTAATAAAGTGCTGTATACCTGCATTTGCTTACAGTTGCAGTTGGTGAAAGCAAACGTACTTTTCTTTTTCTTTAATATTCACATAGAGTTTACAGATCTAGTCCTGTAAATATAGTAAGTTAAAGATGATTTTGTAAACCACATCATCTTATATCTTATGGAACCCTTTGGATATGATTATTATATACTTGAAACATTTAATTAAGAAAGTAAAATATTGTTAATTAGAAGTGATGTCGGAAGGCTGAACTATTGTTAAAAATTATTTCGTTTTTCCCTCCATGGAATGACATTCTGTCTCTCCTGTGTATTACTAGAAGGGTGCAGATGCAACATGCAGATGCAAAGGACATTTTTCTAATAATGGTGGTTTTATAAAATAACTAGCTGGATATTATGCTAAAATTTTAGGATGGCTAAAAGTGGACATGATATTTGTTGTAGTTACCATTGGTGTAGATTGTTTTGCAGTTAGAGAAGTATCATTGATGTAACTGTGAATATCTCTGCATTTCTAAGACTGGATTATGGGAGATGATGGGAAATGGACAGATTTTATATGAGAATTTGAGAACAGGTGACCTGAAACGCATTCTACACATTTTAAATTTACCTGCCTAATGTCTTCTACTTCAGAAATTTCTGAAAACTGATTTTCAAAATTGCCTAATTGAATATATCTATTAATATGTCTTTGTCTATCTCTCACATTTAATTCAACAAATGAGTTTATTTCAAGATTCCTCTGTTGTTTGGAGAGAATACCTTAATTTCAGTAATATCTTTTTGGAGTTACACTTAGACTAAATTTAATAAATTTTGACAATGCAAATTATGTGATAATATATATTTGATGATGCTTATTTAAAAGTTATAGTGAAAATTTGGTGCATAAGAGTTTGTATCCAGTTGAGTGCTATTTGAGCTTGTTTATCTCCTTATATATTTAAGTGCAAATTCTTTATGACTACTCTCAGTTCACTGGGTTTTAATCAAGCTGTTCAAAAGCAATTTGGCATCCATAAAGAAAAAATGAATTTCCACTGGTACAATCAAACAGTGTAGAAGTTAACTGTACTTGCAATAATGGTTATGGCTTTTTTAAACTCTTTAAACATGTGTTGAATGAAGGAAAATGAATGAGGAAACAGATATGAACATTACCCACTAGGTGAACACTTAATATGATTATAGCATCAAAGGTTTTGGGTTTTTCCTTTCATCCTTAGCATTGGCTATGTGACCCCGGGGAGGTAACCTGACACTCTGTTCCTGGGTTTTCTCCTTTGTCAAGTAGAAAAATTGGCCTAAAATTTGAGACTATTTCTATTCCAAAATCTTATGAAACAAGTTAATGTAATTACTCATAGTGTTTAGCAAATTGTCAGATTACACTGTGGCAGTTTGAGAATCCATATAGGAGTTGGGGCAGCCATCTTGTTTGAAGGAGCGCTAAGGAAATTGTCCCAAAGCCATGTTGGGAGTGCCTGGACACTGCTGCTGTGTGGACTGAATGTTTATTGGGTGGGGCTTTGCAGGAGGAGGATGGAGATTACGGAAGGAAGGGGGTAGATTAAATTTCCTCTAAAGCACCCTTTCCTCTTGCTACTGAAAGAATATTATATAGATAAATATTTTTGGATTTTTGACTGATTCGGTACCAGAAGGGTATGAGAAGGTAAAAATAAAAGGAATTGCTTAGTGTCTTTTGACTTCCTTTTTCCTCCTCTAATTTCCTTATATATGCTATTTTACAATATCACGTTTAGATCAATTGCATAATTTAAGTAAACTCCTATTTTTTTTTTCCTGAGAGACATGTTATAAACTGTCACAGCTAGAAGGAAACATAGAACAATTTATTTCAGTCCCTGCATTTTAAAAAGGAAACTAAAGACTTCAAAGATTAAAAAATATAATGGTGAGATGAGTTTCCCAAATTCGCAAAGAGGTTTTACATCAAAGAGCAGTGGTATCAAAGGAGCCACATTGGCATTTGACAATAATTTATGCACTTGTTAGGGAATTATCAATAAAATAATTACATTTATGATGTAGGATACAATGCATTTCATCTAAATGGGCTTTATAATGACAAACTTGTAATCATGGAAAATGAAGACAGAGAAAGAATACATATAATGTTAATTTTAAGTACTTGCTTGTCTTGTAGAAATCCAAGACATTCTTTCTAGATAGAATTCATGTGATATAACTGATGAAATTGGAAACTTTTTCCCCTCTAAGAAAATAAGTGTGCCCAATCCTTTCCTTTTCTGATGTAAATATTTGGGTGGTAGCAAGTGGACCTATATCTCTTTAAAATGTTTTATATTTTAAAATTATTGGCATCTGGGAGATCATGCTATATTTAAAATTTATTTACTTCTGAATGCAAGATATAGCCAATTAATTATAGAGTTTATTTGCTTTTCATTTTGTACACTTGCATGCGTATATGTGTTTAAACACATTTGTCCCCAAATGAAACTTAGTGAAAATTGTGTGCTTAAAAGTTTTAAAAGTGTGTGAACAATAATTGAATAGTCAAAAAATAAATAACACATATTAGGGTGTAATGTATCAAATTGCTCTCTGATTAGTCCT